TGATGATGATACATGATGATGATACAGGATGATGATACATGATGGTGAAAGTACATGATGATGATGCATGATGATGACACATAATAATACTGATAATGATGACGACGGATATGATTTAATCATCTAGCTGTAACCATAGTAACATCTCTCCACAGGGTCGGTACATCCCTAAACCAGATAATCACCTCCTGCTATCCATCTTCAGTTTTCTGTGCTGTTGTCCTCTTCTTGGTTTAGTGGCTCTAATATATTCTGTCCAGGTAAGCAGTAGATCTAACGGATATTCGACTTCCGTTCGTTTCACTTCCGGTCTTTCGCACCAGTCACGTGATTATGGCAGTTATCTTAGTTAATGTGCGGACGCCATTCGCCTGAATATATCCTGGTAAAAAAGTCCCATCTCAAGCGTTGATTGGATGAACATTGATCTCGCGCGTTGTGATTGGACCAATAATGACGTCAATATATCCCGTCATTCACCGTGCCGTGTGACGTCACAATTACACAGTCTTTCAATTTTATATAACTTTTGATATAGTCACGTGCTTTCAAATAGCAATTTCATCGTGTTTTTTCTTTTTCTTTTTCTTTTTCTTTTTTTTGTAGTGCTGACTTCTTGTTCTATTTCAGGTTGATATGAACTACGAAAATGGGAAGAAAGAAGAATCGGTTTTCAAATCCAAAAATGCTCGATGCTGGGCTCTAATGGGCGTCATGATTGGCATGCTCACCATTCTTGGAGGTTCCCTCTACGCTGTTATTGTATTGGCTATTCTTTCCTAGCTCCCAGTCCCCCAAAAGAATTTCTCGATTCTGGTGACTGGGCTATAAAACTAGTACGGAAGAGACCAAGCATTTCCCTATGAAAACTTTATATCGAGCKCCACAAATCTCTTAGTCAATGGGACAAAGCTTAGCGTCCAACGAATAAGCTTTATTGCGAAGGGATTGTGTAATAGGTTGGAAGAGAATRCTGAGTACGACTCTCCTCTCTCCCYATTCTCCACTCACGCGCTTTCTCTTGGATCGGAATGAGTACGATTCTCTCCCCTTAAGCGAATGGAATTCCAACAAGAATGTCGTGCTTGAAACCAGGGTTCGTGCTACTCCTTGAAATCCTTGAAAAGTCCTTGAATTGAAAACACGTTYTTAAGGGCGCTTGAAAAGCCCTTGAAAATAGGGGAAAACGCCAAARCTCCTGGAATACTYCTTGAATTTAATGCAAACTTAATGYTATTTCTAAYTTTCCTTTTAAAATATGGTTGGTTGCGTGTCATGATCGTTTTTTATTGGTGGACGTGGCCCCGGCTGAATTAGCTGCACTTTAACATTKAATCAATGTTTAAACCACRTTCTAATACAAAAAACTTTGTCMTTGAAAATYTAATTTTTGTGCTTAAAAAGTCCTTGAATTTTGAAACGAAAATGTAGCACGAACCCTGCGGAACTGCATAGTTTGATATGTTTTAGTTTTCTTCCATTCATAGTGAATTTTAAAAAAAATGAATGAATGAATGAAAGAAAGAATGACCGATAAAAGGGATAAAACCACCGGAAATAAAACTTTAAGAACGTAAGTTTAATAAAGAATAGAAATGTTACGCTGAAGATATGGTACTAATTTAAGTTTGTTTTTTTTTTAATTTTAAAAACTAAACTCGTTTAACTAGTACCAAAAAAAAAAATTAATAATATTTACTTAAATAAATATGATGATAACGCAAACACAGTATTTCAGTTATAGAAATACATTTATATTTCCACTAGTCTTTCCTTTTCTCGTGGTTTAACCCTTTCTTTACTGTCAAAAAGGTAGACTTTATTGTTTGCACTTTTTATAAAATAATTGGGATAGTACGCGCGCTATGATCGGTCGAAAACCATGTTTGATGAGGATTTATAAAATAGTTGGGATACTACGCGCGCTATGATTGGTCGAAAACCATGCTTGATGAGGATATCATCAAAACACGCTGGCGTCATTCTTTACAAATACATCAGAATAATACGATATTTTTTGCGTGTTTGATACTCTGAAGCTGGAAACCATCGGCTACGCGTCGTGGTTTCCTACGCTCCTCTCGTGTTCTCCCAACATCCCGCGTGTTTTGATCAGAGTATCAAAACACTTGGGATGTTGAGAGAACACTCGAGAAGCTGGAAACCATCGGCTACGCGTCGTGGTTTCCTACGCTCCTCTCGTGTTCTCCCAACATCCCGCGTGTTTTGATCAGAGTATCAAACACGGAAAACTGTTTTTGATCTGTTAATTGAGAAAATATGTTAACTTGTATCAAAGTTTTGTTCTCCATTATTTACGCCTTTCCTTTCATGGTTGACATTAGCTCTCTTTTCCCGTGGTTTAACCGCAATATCCCTATTATATATATATATTTATACTACCCCATCTAATGACCCTAATAGACTAATAGAGTAATAACCCTATCTTTACCTTTATATCAAAGTCTTCATTATTTCACCGCTATCCTCTTGTTCTTTTTTTCGCGCGTTGCCTTTCGCTGGCTGGCAATAGCGCAGGCTCTCAGAACCAAATCGCTTCATTTTTTCTAAATTGGGCTCCCTGTGGTATTCTACACGCGGCGTTGCACTGGTTCCTGGTAGAGACATAAGTACTTGTGCAGATTTGAAGCCWTTTTCTGCAGAATTACACGCCTTAATCTTACAATTTACCTCATTATTACACAGGTAAGGAGTATCTTTACATATATTTAGGTAGTTTTAGTATTTCCCAACAGTATTTAAGTATTTTTTATGACATTTTTTTGTAGCTCAGCTTCGCTTTAGGGTTGTTTACAGTGAATTCGTCACACTACAAAAGTTCGGTTTTGTTTTGATTTTACTCCTTTTTTGTTACAAATAAATAGACTTACTTTACTCTTTGGACTTTTGAAATACTTTTACTCATCATTTTCATTAAATTTATTTATTTTTATATTAAGATATTGAAAGTTTTGCATCACAACACTATAAAACGAAAGCACAGCTAACCCACGCGATGAAAATTCGATCACATAACAAAATTCTAAAAAAATCCTAAAATATTAAAAAAATTCAGAACCTGATTGATGATATTTAAGCTTTGTAAAATCTATTAGATTACCTAAATAGTTCTAAGAATAATCACCAAACGGTTTGAAAATTAAAACTTGGTTGGTACTATCTACATTTTTGATAAATCAATGCTCTAAGATTTGGATCTCGTTTCTTGATGGGGATTTTGATGTTTCATAGTTTGTGCCGTCAAAATGAAATTTCACTGGACAAGAAACATGGCTGGTCAGTCGCTCAGCGATGATGACATGCGAGTTATCCCACACCCCTTGTTGGAGCTTAACGTTCATGTTACGACTAAGACAGTACAGGCCTGTGCATTACTTGGCATGGTTCTTATAGGACCTGCAGTACGTCTGATCAGGGGACCAAGAACCATGGGGGCTTTTACAGACACGGCAATCAAGGCCGGGAAGATTGGGGCACTGATTGGCTTACCCCTTGGTCATGCTATGACCTTCGCAATGCTCAAAAAGGCAAAGGTTGATGATGATGGTCTATATGATAGATGTTATCGACTACGATACAATAGAAACCAGGTCCGCATTGATAGGCTTTCTTATTTGGGTGCTGTTGGAGGGGCTGCAGGGGCACTTTATATGGGAAGTGCTCTTTCATCAGGAGCTGTGGTGGGCCTCGTAGGAGGCACATTATTGGGTAYGATCTACAACAGCACCATTGGTGAAAGACATGCTTAGTTCATAAACTTTTCAAGCAGCATAAATCCTCTACTATGATTGGTTGAACTACTAGTGGTCTAACCCAAACAATGTGAAAAAATAAATCATTTCAAGCTAATTTCAAAATTGTTTTTATCCATTATTGGACAGGTTTGTAGGTTTATGCTAAAACAATTAGACCTTTTGCCTTTGTGGTATATGAGTCAATAGCCCATTTTGGCCTCATTGGCTATTGTCTCATAGACCATAAAAGCTGTGTTCCTATTGTTAATTAAACAAGTTGACTCTGTACTATTTTTTAAGAGACATTGCGGTACAAATGTTTCTGTCCAAAATCGAACCTTCTTCTTCACTGAAGATAGGTCTGAGATTGGATCGAAATATCTGTGTGATGTATCTTAATAAATGAGCCAGAGGCAACTAGCCTAATGAAGAATAGTCTGCTGATAAGTAGATAAAGAATATAATGATAAACTATTTGATTGTAAAATGGCTCCAGATTATCTTTAAGTAAACCTTACTGCAAGAGTGTTTTCATATAAAAATGAATATTTCCATCGATCTAAGGGACTTTAGAATYGAAATTAAAAATATTCCTAATCATTTACTATTTGTTATTCTATTGTATGCCATTCTTGCAATTAGGTTTATGTATGTTGAACAAATTGATTAATAAACGTTTTTTAAAACATTGCTAAGATACTCTGCAATCTGATTGGTTAAACATATATGCTTTATTGACCAATCCTCTTTCACTTTATCTTAATGTTGTCCAACTATCACTCATCATTTGTGAGCTTAGTCAAAACATGGTAAAAGCCCTGTCACAATCTACTCATTGTCAGGTCTCCAAGATCCAAGATATCATGGTAAATGCTTTAATGCTAAGTTCTTTTGTAAAAGGCAAGTCACATGCCTGATGTCATGCAGGATAGCGATAGAAAGTACCCTAGGAATGAGACTAACCAGTCCTATAAATATTTAAATTAAGCTTTAATTCTAATATGTTTGAAAATTTTTCATATAGCAAACAGATAGTGCTGCAGAAATTTCTAAGAAAGTTCTGGCTAATTGTTTTGAATTTATAAACTTAAGCAAACCATGGATGTTATCTTTATTATTCTTATCCTTTTTATTGTTTTTATTTCATATTCACTTGTTGATACATTTATTCCTCTAGAATTGGAAGACTTCTTTTGATGTGGTCATTTGAAGGTTTCTGGATGATAAATGTTTTTTTTTCTTGCAGAACGAGTGTTTTCAGTTTCTTTGGTTKTTTGTTGTATTTGTCGTTTTTCTGATTCAAGACAATTACGTTTTATTTAGTTCACAAAAAGAAAGAAGGAAGGAAAGAAAGAAAGGAGGTAAGGAAGGGAGGAAGGAAGGAAGAAAGAAAGAAAGAAAGGAAGG